CTGTGAGAAGTAGCATGTTACAACATTCATAAAAATCTTTCAACGGGATCGTTCAAAGGAAAAGCTGACAGTTAATCAGACGGTAAAGAACTTCCTTAGTATCTGACAAGAAACTTTATACTGTGCTTGCAAATGCCTGAAATCTATCTTACCATGAGCCAGTTTAATCTAGTCTACACCTTTCGGCCTGGACCGAACATCCCGAATATGCATTTTATTTTGAACACACAATTTCGAAATTAGACTGAAGGTGTTGAGTAAGATCGATTCGGGATTTCTGATCAAAAACCTGCAAATTCGCTATTAGCTACGTACAATTATCACTGCTCACTCCAAATCTGTTGTGTATTTAGCAGGAAACCACAAGTATTTCCTGAGATTCTAAACTCTTACGTCACTTTTAATCTTTCCAGGAAATTATTTTATCATTATATTTAACACACTAACTGAGAACCTTCTTACGAAACCAAACATCCAACTATGAATGTGAGCAGTCAATTAAAAGTAGCATTAAAAATTATTTTTAATTTAAATTACAAGAGACAGATATGGAATTCTTCGTTATTTTTGTAATAGAACACTTTGTAATTAGAATCTGCAACAGTTACAACATCAAAGTTCAGGTTTGAGTTGTACTTAGTAAATTAACCAACAAATCATTAACACGACAGCACAATTGCGTAAACAGATTATTGTAGTCCGCTAAGACACACTATGTTACTTGTACATAGAATTATCTGTTATTTCTAGAGAAAGCAAAGAAATTAAAGTCAACTATAGTTAATTCAGCATGAGCCTTTCTCCATTTGCTGCTATTTCGTTTTAATTGTCTTTCGAGTTGTGATTATACTGACAGCATAAAGCGAAGAGTAAAGATCTGTCATCCTATTTTTGTGGTCAAAGGTAAATAATTATTAAGACTTTGGGTAAAATGTCAGTTGAGATAATGACAACATAATGAGCTTGAGTGTTGACGAATAATCAGCAGTGGTAAAACTGCGTGACTTCATACATACAAATAATTTTCACCTTTTAACCCTTTCAATTGCGATATAGTACAAAGTCATCTGATCTTTAAACCCATAAACACACTCCTCTACACTGAATGTCATGTTATGCATGCGTATTCGCAGAGTTTTTGCCTGTCGGGAGATGGCAGCACCACAAAAACAGAAAAATCTTGTAAATTTCATATTCATGATCGTCTTTAACACTAAGTTATTGAAATTTTAATGGGTTTACAAATAAAATGACCACACTGTACTTTGGAATATATGATTTACGTTGGTGAAAATTTGTTGCAGACAACAGTGCAAAGGCGAAATTGCATGAAAGGCTGTAAATTGAACACAAATCGAAAGTACAATCGAGAGACGCAAACACTCCAGAGAGAAGTGTTTGTATGTAAGGCCAGCACGGTATTAGTATTCTGTCAGCACAGGGCTACTTGGCTCACGTCTTGGTATCTGGAAGCCTTCGTGTTCAAGTGCAACCCAGACCGGTAATAGTGAAAAAATTCCAGTCTCCGAAAATAGCCTTACAGGGCTTTACAAACTGTGGACCAAGTCTGTGTTTATTAACGTAATAATCGTTAAGATTTTTAACTTGATATTCGATACTGCAAAAATATAAACGCATATGTCATAGAAGATTTATATAAAACATTATTTAATATGAAATTGAGAACAGTTAGAAGATGGTGTTAGGTTTGCACATACCATGACCGACAGACCTACACTTTAGTCTAAATATTTTTTAAGCTATGCCATACACGTGAAGTATCGAAGTCTGAACCTCAGGTTTTGGGTACCAAAATATCACGAAATAAGCTCTCTCGCAATGTGTGGAACCACAGCATTCTTACAAAAGCTTTATCTTTTAAAAGAAAATTCAACATATCAACAGATCGACTTACGGCGCAATGTACAAACACAAATAAAGGAATGAGCACACAGTAAATTTGAATCGAGTTTTTTTTTAAGAAGATAATTTAGAACAATCTGGAACATAAGAGAAGAAAGAAAGAAAGAAATAAAAAATAAATAATACACTGGTATAATACAGAGTGTTTCCTCTGTGTGTAGAAACTTCTCACGATTTCAGTTGCAAATAACCGATTGTGAAGGTTATGACATCCTGACAAATCAGGTCTCTTGCAGTGTCCGTTTCACATGCGAGCCTAAAACCTTATATCACAGAGGTTATTATATGTATTTAATTCAATATTCTATATCTGTGCATTTATCCATGTAATAAATTTATATATTTCGTACGAAAGAGTTAATATTTCCTTAAACACGGTTAAACCAACTGACTCTGTAATAGAGACGCAATGTGTTTTCTTTGAGGTACGAACTAAATTTTTAAATAGCTTTTCATTTATACAACCCTTCTTTTTCGTGCAGCCAAAAGCCTACACCGTTCAATCCACGAAACTTTTAGTTTTGAGCAAAATCTAGGGGAAAGGATATATTTTGCCTCATACTTAGCAGGAACATTTCTTTAGTGGCTGAGTGACTGTTGGCTTCTCAGGAAGGAGTAAGTACCCGCACCAGCTCATATATTCCAAGGGAACAGAGAACTGAATGCCAGTGTTCCACCAGATCAAAGTGCCTTCACGGCAGTAACACCCGTATAGTAGCCTGCTTCATGCATATGAGAACGGGCATTCTTATTATACTAGTGTGACAAAATTTTTATTTATGTATTGCACTGACCGCGGGAGGGAAAGAAGAATATTTATTCAGAATACTTTATAAACGCCGGTCGCTGCATCTCTTTCATGAAGAAGCGAGAGAATAAAGTATAAGAATAGGAAGTTCAGAAACGGTATTTGACGTTTTGAAAACCACGAAATCATCGTCTTTGTGTTAAACTCCTCCCCTTAGTTTTCCCACTGAGCGGGACGCAGTAATTCCTGGACCTGTCAGTTCGGACAATATTTTCTGTAACGGCAAGTAGAAAGTGTGTGTGTGTGTTCAACAGGTCAAACCGTGGCTATATACATTTCCATCTCGTTTTTTTTTCCTTTCAAAGAATGTGTTTACAGTATCTATAATAACACAAAAAATAACAGAAAACTGTTCTTTGTTGGGCAAGAGAATACTGATGTTCGAGGGCTGTTACAGCTTGTCTTACCATTCGAACTGATCTGTGAACACAAATGTTGTTCACCTAATAACGTAATTGAATTTGTCAAAAACAGTGCAGATAAAGACGCGACATTTTACGACAACAAAAAAGCAGAACAAAGTAAGTAATTTGTATCTCCGTCATCTTCCAGTCAATCAATTGATCAGTCACATAATTAATCATGGAAATAATACATCATCCTACTAATCATCTACATAAGACAATTAATAATATTGCGGCCAATGATTGGAATCATGTCCTCCTCTCCCAAACAAACTACCTTCATCGATAAGCAACGACTAACAAAACACGTGTATGATTTCTTTAATTATCGCATTTACTCGATTTTAAGACACCGTCGACTGTAAGTTTTCAGAAAAAATACAAGCATATTACATAAGAAGTTAACAATATTCAAACACAATACTTCTTTGCAAAAATGCTTTTAGGATCTTCTTCGTGTGTGTTCACTGTCCCATGACTAGTGTCACAGACATGGAGATTTTCCTTGCGCTTTAGTAATACGATATAATTTTTCAACACCGATTCTTAAGACACCATTAAATGTAAGATGCACCCCGATTTAAGAAATTTTAAAGTACGAAGTAAAGCGAATCTTAAAATTCAGAATAAAACAGTTATTCAAAACAGTTGTCTCGACTTCAAAACATTTTAACCAAAAAATTAACACCATCGAGCAAAGTCCTTCTTGACAAGCTAGTACAGAAATTCACTACCTTGTATGGAACCAGAGTGTTCATTACATTCTTCACAAAAGCCCGCTACCGGTCGTTACTCTGAGCAACATGAATCTAATACAACCTCCATCCGATTTCCCTATTTAATATTATCCCCCATCTACGCCCCTATATTACAAGTGGCCTCTTCCCTCCAGGCTTCCCAGCCTATACTTTGTTCATATTTCTAATTTCTTCATGCGTTCTACATACCCCGTACATCTCATTCTCCTTGACTTGATCCTAACAATATTTGGTAAAGAGTAAAAGATTATGAGGTTCATAACTCTTTAATTAGCACCCCGTTCTTAAGCAACCTTAAAATACGTACTTTCCTTAATGTGAAAGGCCAAGTTTCGCACCCATACAAAACAACAGGTAAAATTACACTTTTGTATGGTTTAATCTTCACGTTTTAGACAGCTGACGGGAAAACAAAAGACTTCGAGATTCACGGGAGCACGGCTTCCCCGAATTTAATCTGCCCCTACGTTCTTCGTGAATGCAGTTCTGATTTGCTGCCGTTGTTCACAGTTTTAAAGGAACAAACTTAATTCGCTCCACAAGCACGCCCGACAATGTTAATCATGTATTGTCACAGTTCTCCTCCTTGTTACATGCTGGACGAACCTCGACATCAGCTATAAAAAGAAAGGGTTTAGAAGCTACAGTTCATTAGTTCAAACGTTACAAAACTAATGAACCCAACATAACTCTTAACCTCATTAACTTGTTGGAATTAAAGACTGCTGAATACGATGTCTAACAAAATAACAAGATAAATATAACGCCTCAGCTAAAACAAACAATGGGCATGAAGCAGTAGTGCTATTAGTGCTATTACGATTCGTTTCAGGTGGGTGGAACCTCTGAAGGCTCCTTTAATTTGCTAGGCTACAGAATGAATGCTAATTCCGTGTCTTCTTACAGTACGTCTATAAGGCAGTGAGGTTGACCCGCAGGCCCCGAGGCTGTTGCTGCAGTCATAGCCGCTGGTCGCTTCTGAGTGGGTGTCAAACTCTCGCACCGTGACCTTCCATATCGCAGGAATGAGACTGCAACAGCAACCACACGAACACAGCAACACCGAACAAGAAACTGACTCGAACGCCACCTGGGTGATGGCTCTGGAACCAAACTCGCCTACCTTCTTTTTACCTGAGTTCTTTACTGGTTGCCCTGAAGGGGAGTGAGGTTGGAATTGCTTGTTGCTTGGTTGGTTAGCGACGAGGCCATGGTCAAAGCAGACTCGGCTAGTCCAGTCCAGTGATCCGAGCTGCTAGGAGCTTGTCGTTGTTGCAGTCTGAGAGTGAACGCGAGGCAGCGCATAGTGTGTTGTTGTTAATGGGCAATGACAGAACTGAATTCGTTGTACGATAAGTGACGAGCTCTTAATGTGGCGCGGGTACAGTTACAGAGTCCAACACCGGTGCTGTCAGATTTAATGAGTGAGTTGAGTGGTGGTTCGTGAGTACGCGCGCCCATGGAGCCCCAACTTCATCCGCGGCTAGTTCTCGTGACGTACGTGTTAATGCAGTGAAACCCGGCAGAAATAGTGAAAGATGGTACGCGAGTGGTAATTACAAAGATCGTTGAGGAAATAATGGTAGATAGTAATTATGCGAACAGGCGGTTATCACGTACATTAACATTTTCATTCACAATGCAGGTCAGCCCAGTGGTTTTTACGGTGCTGCTAGGAGCCATCTTTGGCGTTCTATCGGCGTCGCTCAGTAAGGCACTGAGATACCAGGCGCCTGACGAGTGCAAGTGGGTGGTGCTTAATGCGAACGGCGGCGGTGGTGAATTCTCGAGAGCGGGTGGTAGTGACGGGAGCAGCTTCGACGAAGACGTTGCTCTCGTTTGTCGATTACGAACAATTAACAGTGAACTGGAGAACACAAATTTTAGCGTGATACAGCCCCAGCACACGGTGCGCCTAAGGCTTGAGTGCAGTGACATCTTGTTCTTCCAGAGTTCACTCAGCTCCGGGAGTTTCAGGCCTCTTGTGGAACTAAGGGATCTTGCCATCGAGTACTGCAAGATCGGAAACCTCTCGGCAGGGGCGTTTCGAGGCCTCCGGGAACTTCGCAATCTCACGGTGCGTACACATAACACGGACTGGTCTGCGATGACACTTGAAGTGGATCCTGAAGCCTTTACCGAAGAACTGGGACTTCTAGAGCGTCTAGATCTAGGTGAAAATAACATGTGGAGTGTTCCTGACGGCGTGTTCTGCCCGCTCCACAGTCTAGAAACACTTAATCTTACCAGAAACAGACTTCGCGACGTGACTGGGTTTCGGTTCGGCGGATTAGTTTCTTCAAACCTTAATCCCTCAGAGCGCTGTGGTGGTAACCTGAAAAATCTCGACCTCTCCAATAACAGTATCGATTCCCTTCCTCCTGCAGCGTTTTCTGGCCTATCGCGACTACAGAAGTTAAACCTACAGGGAAATGGAGTATCGTTCCTTGCCGACAGGGCTCTGGAAGGGCTGGTCTCTCTCACTATCATCCGTCTTGCAGACAATAAACTAGGCAGTCTCCCGCCCGAATTATTTGCAGATACTCGTGACATAAAGGAAGTCTACCTACAAAACAATTCCATCAATGTCTTGGCGCCTGGGTTGTTCAACGACTTGACACAGCTACTTGTATTGGATTTGTCACAAAATGAACTGACAGCCGAATGGGTGAATACTGCCACGTTAACAGGCTTGGTGCGCCTTGTTGTGCTTGATCTGTCACACAATCGCATAGCCAAGTTGGAGCCAGCTGTGTTCCGGGATCTATATAGCCTCCAGATATTGCGACTGGAAGATAACGTCATAGAAACTGTGCCAGAAAACACATTCTCTTCATTATACAACCTCCACACTTTAATCCTTTCCAACAATAAATTAGCCGTAATCGACAGTTACACTTTCAATGGCTTGTACGTTCTCAGTCTCCTATCATTAGACAACAATCTAATCCAGTCAATCCATCCAGAGGCATTAAAAAACTCGTCCAGTCTTCAGGATTTCCATTTGAATGGCAACAAATTGTTTGAAGTTCCTACAGTACTGAACGACGTGCCTCTTCTCAAGACACTTGACCTCGGAGAGAATCACATCGCAAACATTGCCAACTCCAGCTTCGGCTCGATGCAACACATGTACGGCCTTCGCTTGACCGAAAATAACATCGGCAACATCACCAAAGGCACATTTGAAAAAATGTCTGCCCTTAAAATCCTGAATCTTTCTCGCAATAAAATACAGAAAGTTGAACCAGGTGCCTTTGATGCCAATGTCAATCTTCAGGCAATTCGACTGGACGGCAACCAGCTCACCGACATCGACTCGCTCTTTACGAAGCTGCCCAGTCTCATCTGGCTCAACATATCTGACAACCAGCTCGAATGGTTCGACTACGCTTTGATTCCTACGGGCCTGCAGTGGCTGGACATCCACGCAAATCGCATCGCTGAGCTTGGCAATTACTTCGAGATAGAGAGCCAACTTCATCTGAGCACATTTGACGCGAGCTCTAACAAGCTGACGGAAATCACTGGAAGCGCCATTCCCGACAGCGTGGAGATGCTGTTCCTCAACGACAACCTCATTTCAAAAGTACAGTCCTACACATTCTTTAAGAAACCCAACCTCACCCGTGTTGACCTCTTCGGCAACAAAATAACCAGTCTAAATCCTAACTCCCTTCGCATATCAGCTGTTCCTCCACTTCGAGGTCTGCCGGAGTTCTACATCGGTGGCAACCCCTATCAGTGCGACTGCACCATGGACTGGCTGCAGAGGATTAACATGGAGAATCGAGCAAGGAACCAGCCACGCCTGATGGACCTGGAGAGCATATACTGTAAGCTTCTATACAACCGCGGGCGCACGTACATCCCCCTTGTGGAAGCCGCGCCAAATCAGTTCCTATGTCGCTACGATTTTCACTGCTTCGCCCTGTGCCACTGCTGCGACTTCGACGCCTGTGACTGCGAGATGACGTGCCCCACTAATTGCACGTGTTACCACGATCAGTCATGGTCTGCTAATGTGGTGGACTGTGCAGGGGCCGGCTACATCGATCGTCTTCCTGATCAAATTCCTATGGACGCCACGCAGCTGTACTTGGACGGCAATGATATCAGAGCAATAGGCAGTCACGCCTTTATTGGAAGACGGCGGCTCAAAGTTCTCTTCATGAATGCGTCAAATATAGAAATAATACACAATAGGACATTCAATGGACTGAAAGAACTCGAGTTGTTGCATGTAGAGGACAACAGAATCCGCGAGTTAAAGGGTTATGAGTTCGAAGGCCTAGAGAGCCTACGAGAACTGTACATACAACGAAACAAAATCACATCCATCCATAATTCGACATTCATGCCTATGAGAGAGCTTAGGGTACTACGGCTGGACCATAATCGCATCAAACACTTTTCTGTTTGGCAACTGTCATCCGACCTCAACGATATTCGCCTGTCCGCTAATCCGTGGTCGTGTGAGTGCGAGTTCACGGACAGGTTCCGGGAATGGATACAGCACGCCGGCGAAACTATCGGAGACCTGTCTTCGCTTCGCTGCGTCTACAACAACAATAATGGAACGGAACCCGAGGACGGCGAAGACATGGAGGAAGGCGAAGTGGAGGACGGGTATTTCTTGATCTCGGACAAGAACTCCACATGCTTCGGTGCCATAGACAACGCCATCAATGGCAACTACACCTCTACCAAGACAATCATCCAGAGCCAGGCCATTCAGGATTACCTTCCCCTCCTCATTGCTACCTTGTGCGCGTTTCTTATTGTTATTGCCACCACTTTAGCCGTATTCATTTTCCGGCAAGAAATGAGAGTTTGGTTCCACTCTCGGTTCGGTATTCGGCTCTTCTATCGCAGAAACGATATCGACCGTGATGACCGTGACAAGTTATTTGACGCGTTCGTTAGTTACAGCTCCAAGGATGAGGCATTCGTCGCCGAGGAGCTGGCGCCCATCCTAGAACACGGCGATCCACCGTACAAACTGTGCCTCCACTACCGCGACTTCCCCGTCGGAGCGTTTATCGCTGACACTATCGTACAGGCCGTGGAATCGTCCCGGCGGACAATCATGGTTCTCTCAGAGAACTTCATCAAATCTGAGTGGTGCCGGTTCGAGTTCAAATCTGCGCATCACCAAGTGTTGCGAGACCGAAGACGAAGGCTTATCCTCGTCCTCCTCGGAGAAGTGCCGCAGAAAGACCTGGACCCCGACATCCGGCTGTACCTGAAGACGAACACGTACCTCCAGTGGGGAGACAAACTATTCTGGGAGAAACTGCGATTCGCTCTGCCAGACGTCCCGAACAACCAGAGAACTCGCAATGCAACGCGTAATAGTAACAACACGAACAACAGCAACCACCATCACGTGGTGCATCATCACGTCCACCGTCACAACAACCACAACCACAGCCACCCGAACAACACGTCCGGTGCGTCTAACACGACGAACACGACGCCCAGATCCGTCGCCATCCACATATGAGTGTGATGCTGTGTAGTGGTGCTTGGTGCCAAACCATAAATGCTAGTGATTTCCAGATCAAATTATTGCATCATACTCTTGTGTGTAAATATGTTACAAAGTGTAATTTAGTGATCCGTTTCAACTTGTGTATATCTGTTGTGACATCCAAAGCGGTGACTGTGTTTTTTTTTATAAATACGATAACCACGCAGATCAAAACAAATGCAGGTATATAAACACCGCCCATCAAAATACTACAACTGTGTATAATAATTCGGAACAATGTGCTGTGAGCGAAATAATTTATTTTACTTTATTTTCTTCTCTTTCTTATTCTATCCAAGAAGTTTATTACAAACATTGCTTTATGGTGCTATTCGGCTTCCACATTTCATCAGTCGCCCGCTACGAGTGTAAGGTAAAAGAATTTTCTTGTCTTATACTGGTACGTAACACTGCAGCATATTTGGTAACAAAGAAATGCTTTCTCGATGTTACTTCTATTTCTGTATTCTCAATATTTACTCGTGTTTTGAGGTGAACGATGAACAGTGAACAGTAGCATAATCGTTTATGATTTTGTTGTACTTATAAAGACGCTGATTTACGAACTGGCACACAGCAGACGTGTGACATGAAATTTATTGTAAATACAAAGTGCCTTGCTATTGTGGGATTAAAGCGGCTAATAAAATCCCCTCATTATTATGAAACTTGTGTTAATTTTATATTAGAAATCAGGTAGTAAAATTTCCTCAAACACATCCTAACTCTTCCTGAGATATATTCCATATATAATTAAGCATTCCAACATATTACTTAAATAATATTGTGCTTAATACCTTTAGCACACTTAATTTAAAAAACAATCAGTTTCTTCCTCGAAACATTTTTCAATTATAAAATACCATCGTCAGGTCATATTCATAATATAATGTGCAAACCACGAACTTCAAATTAAAATTAAATTAAAACCAACATTAAATTTAAAATGAAATCGCATGGGGCTATTTATTTGGTGAGTAGGCTCACGTGTTACTTGCAAAACAATTTATGTAACGGGTGGCCTTATTCGTCCATATAAATAGCCCCATGCGATTTCATTTTAAATTTAATGTTGGTTTTGATTAAATTTTAAATTTCTATTTTAAGAACTTAGTTCGCACATACGTTTTCAAATTGGTCTGAAGATGGTATTTTAATTTCGAAACATGCTGTCACCAATAAAGAGACTGCTTTAAGATTTTAATCAAGTGTGTTGAATGTAATAATCATAATATTTTATACGTTTTCCATTAAAAGGTAACAAGTGTTTAGGGAGTTGATGCTTATTTCAAACGTGGAACTGTTTCGTATTTCATAACAAATGGGCCTATAGCATGTGCTCTGCATCTCTGTCCATTTTGAACGAATTGCGATTTGCTATTGAATGCACCATAAATATGTGGACGACAGTAGTTGTAGGTTATATCAACGTATAACGCGTGACAAGAAATATCTGAATGAATCGACGTGTTTTCATAGACACATTAGATTTCCCTATGCAGAAGTGCTGAACAAATTCTTGTAACTTTTACAACGGTGGCGAATGTATTTGATACAATGTTTCTCAACTTGTGAGACCTGACGTTTCGAATTCAAAGGCTATCCTTTTTCTACGCTTTTTAACAATATTTACAAAATGTGAACAGCGGCGAGATCTTCTTCAGGCTTGTTCTATGCAGCTCATCGGTATGTATTGGTGTCCAGTTATTAAAGTTTTATTAACGTTTGTGTAATATTACAGGCACAATTTTATTGTGATCTGCCAGAAATTCTTCCTATTGTCTCTTTATTGTGTTAATCCGTTCTAAAATTTCACAAATGTGTTAGGCTCACTTGTGTTTATTTTAATATTTCGTCAATCTCGTAATTTTATCACTGATTTTTAAAACTGCTAATAATTTTAGTAAAATTTCATGTTTTCACGGCGGTGAGTCTAAAGATGGCTGTCTTCTGGGTTGTTGCGCTGTGTGGTCTGGTAATCCATCTTCTACTATTAATTTTGTCACGTTTTTCTATCGAACGTAATTGATTTCCAGATCAAATTATTGCATCATACTGTTGTGTTTAAATATGGTACAAAGTGTTATTTAGTGATCCACTGTAAGCTGTATATATTTCTGTTGTGACTTCCAAAGTGATGAGCGTGTTTTTAAAAATGCCTTATAAATACTATTACCGATAATATCAAAACAAACGCAGGCATATAAACCACGAAATACGAAACACACTGGCTTAAATGCATACACAGAGGCCTATTCCACACAAAACTTGGAACGCCTTTGAGTTTTTAGGTGTAACCTGTTAATAAACCGCCATTTTCGAAAGGACGACAGAGACTGGTAAGGTCTAATACATCATATTTTAAAAAGCAAATTCCATTGTGTAAAATCTGCACAATAGGCCTATGATTATCTCTTGTTTAGCAATGTAGTTGCTGTAGATCGTGTTTTCTATTCAAGTACCGAAATTATGGGCGCGACCACTTTCTTCAGAGATTTATTTATGCGATGTGCTATTAGGGTTATCAAACGAAGGAGAATGCGAAATGCATATATAATTTTAGTTAGAACACCTGAAGATATTTTAAGATGACTTGGTAAACCAAGACATAGATGACAGGCAATACTGAAACGTGTGATATTTGAGGTTATGTCACCAGGGAAACATATCCAAAAGTAAAATAGATATTAAACAGGATGTGACGATGTGGGATGGATTAAAACTGCCTCAGGATAGGGTTTAGTGAATACGGTAATGAACCTACGAGATTCACAAAAGACAAGAAATATCTTGACAAGCTGGTCCACATTTTGGACCATAGAATTAGTTATAAACTTAATCAGAAGGTAATATTATTTACCAGCTCATGGGTTTTGATTCAGACCAACCGTAATTGTTATAAAGGAAAATATGATATAAATAAAAACTGAATGCCTCTTTTAGACGAGGTGAGGCTTTGTTCTATAGGCATACATTGTAGAAATGTACTAATTGTGAATGTTAATTTACTAGAACTATAGTTACGTATTAAGAAATTACTCTCGAGCTGGACAACTTTAAAAACCAAATTCGGCTGCGAAATCATTTTGCAATTTAAATATTTCCATCGCAAATCAACAATACGAAATCATTTAGAAGCATTATGAAGTATAAAGATAAAACATCAATCTTTTTTAGTATTTTTGAAATTAAAATTCTGGTACGGAGGTTAAGTTACGAGGCAGAAGAAACAACAGCCGACCGGCAAACAAGTTAGGGTCTTTGCCCAGTCTTTTCTCCCGCAGACACCATAATGACAGAGCGCTTCTTGTAGCTGCCTGATGCCTGGTCGACCGCATGCGTACCTGCCACAGCTCGCGGACCAAGAAACAACTCTTGATATTCGTCGTCCCTCCCTCCCCACAAACTATCACACTGTTAACTTTTTTTACGTGAAATAACTTGAAAATTGCTGTTGAAAAACCGTCTGGAGTCGCAGATAAAGAGGACACACGAACAGAACGACAACCACTTATAGGAAACTTGTTAAAGGATACAAACCCTCCATTTCTATAGAAATGCCAGTCGCCTTCAATGTGAAGTGCAATTAATTTCTAAAGTAGATCTATTCTATATTTAATACACGAAGTATAAACTAGTCGAAAAAACTCCACTCGCATATGTATGGACTTTGGAGCATAATGTCCGAGGTTTCTTCAAATATCACTTCTTTAGAAAAATAGCTCAGTTATAATAATTCGAGTTACCGAAAATCTTAAGAATACAGTATATAAATAATGCTATTTTAACATTCAATCTTTGTTAATACTTCTCGATTCATAAACGGTGACATTTAGCCTAAGCAGGAAATTATACTTTTATACCAAAATTATGTGAACTGAATACACGAAGTATATGCATCATATACATTGCTTTGTTCCATTCCTTTACAGTGCCAAAACTGCTGGATTCACACGTTATAACTGTCATAAACATGTTCTTCATTATAGTCTTAATTACTTTCTTAATATAGTAAATAAAATATCCGCAATTTTACAACGAACATTCTCGACGAGATTTCAGGTTCTCATAGTGACGAATGTTAAAACGTATGCTGGGATGATTCACCGTGTAGTCTCCATACGCACGCGCCTTACTAATAAACCTGAAGATGGAAGCGGTAAGCTCCTCTGAAACGTCGGTAATTACCAGACTACGCGGTGCAACATCCCAGAACACAGCCATATTAATTTTTAAGATTATAACAGTCTAGAACAGAGGCATCTAAACAAAATAATAGTTACATTTTTACAATATCCTCGTGATAAACCCGTATCATTAAATACAAGGAATCGAAATATAAAAGTTGATACGAGGTCCTTTAAAAATCCGATCATTATTCATAAAGCCACACTTCCCAGCCACTGTATGCATTTGTCAAAAACACGAACACACCATGCAACATGACCCCACCACTAACCAGTCAACTCAAATGCCACGACGCCAGCCTATGAATTCGAATATGTTCTTACGCGTTTAAAAAACAGGCCACAAAATGCGGCGATATTAAAAGCAGTGGGATCTTGTTCAAATCTCTGTGTTGTCATTGGTATCTGCTGCTGTTTCGTTAGTAAACTGTTTCCGCTCTGATTGATATCTTGACGTTGGTGTAATGTACAATATTAATTTTTATCATAATACATAAGAAAATGTCCCTTATTATATTTCTAATAATGAATGTCGGTTTCAAAAAGAATTAATTTACAGATGACTTCGATTTTTTTCAGAACAACCATCTTTGAAGGGTCTTATTAATATTCTGTCCTCCAATTCTTTTCATATATTAGTCGTCCGTTAAATATTGTTCAGCTGTTTAATATTTTCCCATGAACTGTGATTTATTTTACTACACATACAAAGCCATTTTTTAAAGTAAAAAAATGCCTTATGTGTTTTAATGTTGCCGCTGTCAGAACCTCGAATCTCATATAATATGAGTATAGTTTAATCAGTGAGGTACTTAACTATATTCATTCTAACCTGCTTTCACTACGAAAATGTTGTGGGGGATTGTGATAAACAGTATTCTATGAAAAACAAATATGAAGTAAACATTACGAAGGGCGAGTATATTTATTTTATTAAGCCTATTATGACAAGATGCCATTTAATATATTGAAAGATTAATCGTTATTTGCAAATTTAAGATACCTTACTGAGCTCATGTGGAACTAAAATCATTTGATACCATAAATGGGTAAGAGAGTTTTAAATATTTCAGTGAATGATTTAAATCAGTGAAGGCTCTACACCAAATATTTGTGAGAAATCGAAAGTAAGAGTCATCAGTGCATTCCACTGATGAAGTCTTACAACTGTAACGAGGGATTTATCAGATATGGAAGTAGTATGAAAATATTCTTACTTTAATTCAAACAGATCAATTAGATAAATTAAGCCAAAAGTTTTAATATAATCCACATTTAGATCCTTCTTTCTAAATCTGAACATATGGAAACAAACACAGATGTCTGTTTCTACAAAACAAACACACAAGTTCCAGTAAAGTAAACGATGAAACTAATGTTATCTGATTTGTTAATGGAATAAACAAAGCATTACAGTGAAAATATAAATTCCACTTAAAACACAAAAATAAGATCGTTACCTAGAATGAAGTAAGTCTACT